CCACCACCAGCTATGCATAAATAGCAGGACAGACCAGGTTCTATAGCTTTGGATAGCAACTAGTCTACCACAGAAAGAAATGGCAACCTACTGCAGGAAAAAATCTGACTCCTTAGTCATGTATCAAAAGATACATGATCGCCTAAGCATGTATCCCACATGGCACATAACTGACTGATTGGTTCATACACAGAAGTTATATGAAGAAAATAAAATAATGTTAAATTTACAAATTTTGGTTAAGAGAACACACTAAAATATTCTAAAAAGTTACTGTGTAAAAGAAAGGAAAAATATGGAAGATGCTAAGTGACATAATTTGTCAGGATGTTAAATGAAAGTGAGTAAATGTCATTTTTTGTATGTAATTATTATTTATTTAGGTTTATGTATTTTTATTTTATATATTTTTCTATTTAATTAATTTATTTATTTTAAAGCTCATTAACTAATGAACTTTAAAATAAATAAATTAATTAATTTAAAATTAATTATTTTAATATATTTTAATATTATAATTAATTTAATTTAAACTAAACTGTTTTTTTTTTAATTTTAAGAAGCTTTTGTCATCATGCATAAGGAAGACAGATCATTAGAACAATTGCCATGAAAATATTTATAGAAAAGACACAATTGCCATGAAAATATTTATAGAAATGCCAGGTCATGACAGTAGAAAGAGTCTTAAAAAAAAAGATTAGATTAAAGTTATAGTTAAAAAAAATGTACCAATGACTATTTTCTGAAGCCATTAATTTGAATGACATAATTATTATTTTTGGTTCACAATTACTCAAAATTAAATATTGAAAAATATTTCTTTATATATTTACTAAATTCAGACATATAGCAGTGTTTGTTTTAGAGAAATTAATTACAATTCAATTATCTTTTGATCAAAAAGCCAAATCCAGCCAATACAATCATACAAAGTATGATCAAAAAGCATTGGGACTGGGGCAATAAAATAATCTAACAATATTTTTATCACTTTAAACATTATTTTTAGTGGATAATCATATTTGAGTAGGCACACCATGTATTTATTAAACAGTATATACATGTTTTTTGTTATTTATTTTCATCTATCAACCTGAATGTTGATGTGAACTTCCATCCCTATGGGTAGAGGGATCTCTCATTTAAGGAAGCTGTGTTGAGGGATGTAGGATCGAATCCTGTGAGAGAGTGTAAGTTTTTTAATAAGATTTCTTGAACATTCCTGGCTGGGAGGCAAAAATAAAGAATAAAATAAATATACAAGAATCCCTCAATTAGTGCGGCTAATGTGTACATTAAAAGATATGCACTAATCGAGAACGTATTAATTGAATATAATAATTTATAGGAGATGATGTAATTTGTACCTCAAATTTTAGTCTTATTCACAATTAATTTCTAATTTGCATACTTTTTAATTAAAATATAGGTACATATAAGATACAATAAAAATGCTATGAATTAATGTTTATTGATCTGATTTTTTATGAAAAACTTATTTAGAGTTGTTTGCTACAAGGTATTCTTCTGTTCTTCATATAAATGGTGGTACTGAGAAATTTCCCCTTCAAATTTTCCAAACATATTTTAATCATTAGTATTTTAACCTGAAAATATTATTTATAATCTTTCCATAGTAAATGCATACACCTTTTATATTTTCATATTATTTAAAAAATTTAAAATTCTGTATCATACATTTCCTTTTAAGACCTTCGGAATAAACATTAAAAAAATTAAAATATTCAAAAATTTCTAATTGAGACAAATATTCAAATATGTATTTTTATTATCGGCTTATATTATAAAATTTATCTCTTTATAACCATCCACTTTTTTAACACTATTGTAATTACTTAGATAACATAATACTTGAAAAACAATTCCTTATTTTTAAATTTTAGAAATTAGGAAATTTTTAATTAATTGGTAACTATAAAAAAAATCAATTTTCAATTACTATGGTTAAACTAAACAATAATCTAGTATTATGTATGTACTAATTGAATTTTGGTATATAAAAATTTTAGCACACTAATCGAAAATGCATTAATCGAATGCACTTTAAATGAGGGATTCCTGTATAATGTTTAATAAACAGAGTGTCTACTCATTAAGTGATAAAAATCTGTTGGATTTATAAAAATCCATTCTAAAAAAAAGTAGTGTGTTTATGGGATCTGATCAAAAAGTATCAGGACTGGTACTATAAAAAGGAAACTAGAACACATAGCAATTCAGCATTTTATCTCCTTTGAAGTAATCCCCTTCTGAAGTCCACACTTTATTCAGCATGATTTCCATTGACGGATGTATTTCGGGAACCCCTTTTTTGAGATAGCAAGCAGCTGATTCATCGCATTCTCTTGGATTGCCTCAAAGTCTTGAAATCTTTTTTTTTCAAGTGGGATCTGATTTTTGAAGAGGAAAGTGTTGTAAGGAGCTAGATCTGAGAAATATTGTGGTTGTTGGACCTACAAGAATATTGTCCTTGGCCAAAAACTGCTGTAAGAGCCATGGACACTGATGGAACCTCTGTGGTGTGGTAAGACAATCATACTCTATACACTTTACTTCTAAACACTGCTATAAACAATGGAAGTGAGTAAGAACAATATAAATTAGTATATATATATATGCAACAGAGTTCAAGGTTAGTCTGTACCAAGCGGCTTCACAGTGTGTACTTTAGCTCCATTACCATATCAAATTTGTATGTCATAATCAGCCTGTGAAAGCCTTCCTCATGCCATTCCCTTTGGGATTTATAAGGAGAAAATGGTCATTACCCTACCCCACTGAGCCAATGTATTTTAGTAATGGCTTACAGTACCTGTCCTTGGCTTACAAGTTTTCTGTCCCTCATTGTAACACACTTTTCCATAAATAAGCATTTACATCACATACCAATGCTAATGCAATATCAAAGTAATAATCTAAGACATAACAACACATTTCTCTGTTATATATTAACATAATTTGTACTAAAAAACACATGGAGGATATAAATATAATACATATAAAGAAATGAAAATGATACAAATAATGAAAAGAAATTATTTCAAGCTGGTTGTATATTTATTGCCAGTGATGTCATTGGCTCTCATTAGATGAGATGATAAAGCATAACATCTTGTCTCTTTTGCAGTTCTTGGAAGCAACAATCCAATATGGCATACAACAAGGAACTTTCACATGTCATCTTCTTCACTCTAGTGCTGCATCATTTGCATTGTATATACAAGTTAAACAACATAGGTCAAAACAAGATTAATCAAGATTGCATTGTAACCACAAATCATATTATGTCGGGATTGTCATAACCCAGGGACTTACTTAACACACACACACACACATATATATATATATATATATATATATATATATATATATATATATATATATATATATATATATGAACTGAAAGGCAGTAATCATCAACTTAAACAAGGATACCATCCAGAAGAGTTGCAGGAGATTTCAAAGCTGTCAGGAGACTGTGGTTGAAGCCAATGGAAATTTTACAGGATAAATTTACTCTTTAGCATTTCAAGATATTATTTGTAATTTTGGTAATTTTTTCTGTTAAAATGAGATGTCAGTGTCATTTTCATTTTTTGCATAATTTAGACTACAATTTATCCATCACAGCCTATATATATATGTGTATATATATATATATTGTTAAGAATTTTATCTTTCAACAAAATTCAAACATATGGCAACATATGTGGTTCACTTAAATGAAAAAAATGCGATTATCTACTCAGTACCAATACCAGCATCGACAATGTATCGAAAAAAATATTCAATGTAATGTTATAATTATTTTAATATATAAGAACATGGAGTGAGAGGAGAAGGAAACAACAAATAAATAATAAGTGAAAAGAAATAAAATGTAAGGATTATTATAAGAGAAATGTTCAATGGCCACTTATGTTATCAATAATTTTATTGATGAACAGCCTTTTTTTATAGTTTGAGTAGATAGTTCATAGTGGAAGAATCTTGAGATATTTCCCTTCACATGTAGAATTGCTTCAGTCAACCAGTATGGTTTGTTAGGTTTATCAACTTGAAAGTGTTTTGCATTTCATCCACAGAAGATACATGATCCTGGCTTTTGAATTTCTTTTCTTTGTACTTTCAGTCTCTGGGGTATCAGTAGTCATTTTTACATGGTAGCTAGCCCACAGAGAAAGGATAATGGTTTTTGTACGTCTTCCCGATACAACAGCTACAATCTTTCTGATCAGTTAGTATAGGGACGCTTCTCAGTGTTCAACGCCACATATAAAATTAAAATCATCGAATACTTCATATGAAATTGACAATTTGACCATTGACCCACTTTAAAAGTGGTCAAGGCCATACTTTTTAGAAATAGAATTTTTAAGAAATAGAATACAGAATAAAAGATAAATGAATTAAATCTTAGGATGGAGATTTCTATTAAATAACAATACTTCAAATGATTGATTTAATTCAATTTAAATATTTTTAATATAAATAACGAAGGTGATGTCATAATATATATATATTATGCAACTTGTGTAATAATCATTGTACTTAAATATGCAGATATATTTAATCAATATATTTAAATAAATCCACATTATTTAAATATATTATATATATATATATATATATATATATATATATATATATATATATATATATATATATATATATATATATATATATATATATAAAAAAAATTATAAAATAAAAAAAAAAAATTATGTTATAAAATCACTACAAAAATAGCCATTTTGTTTCAACACCCTTGGTGTCTTATCAAGTGATGATGTTGAATGTAAAATAAATGGTTTTAAAAGTTTCAAATTAATTAACGATCCTTCACTAAGGGAAAACATTGTTACAAAAGCTAGAATAACCAAGGATCAAAGGATCATTAATTAATTTGAAACTTTTAAAACCATTTATTTTACATTCAACATTATCACTTGAGCTAGAATGACCAAGGATCGAACGATCGTTAATTAATAGATAGATAGATAGATAGATAGATAGATAGATAGATAGATAGATAGATAGATAATGAACAGAATGAGATAGATAGATAGATAGATAGATAGATAGATAGATAGATAGATAGATAGATATGCAGGTGATGTATTGTTTAGAAAACTTAGAACAAGAAATCAGCCAGCATTATCAAAGACATGTTTGTTTTTGTTATATCATTGGTCTTATTTTCAAATATCATGTTTCATGTGTTCAGGTGACAGTTCATATCTTCAACTGTTTTTTTATTGAAATATATTTTGTATGTTAGGTGATATTTGATAATGGATAATGATAGCCAAAAGTACTCAAATACTGGAAAATATATTTTCATATATGAACCTGAAACCAAAAATAATAATCAGGAACATCAAAAAAGTAAAAATATAATCAATGAGGAAATCTCACTTAAACAAAGTTGTGTATATATTACATATACAGTAGCGAGCATAAAGATCAGAACGATGTTAAGAACAAGTCTAAATGTGAAATAACTTTTTATTTTAAAGCTTCAAAGAACACTTTAGCAAGAAAAATAAGGATATAAAGGTAAATTATATAATTCCAAAATATAAAGATCAATAAACTTTTTATCTATCTGTGGATAGCTATATATATATGTGTGTGTGTGTGTGTGTGTGTGTGTGTGTGTGTGTAGAATTTAACTAATTAACTCTATTGAACACTTTTAAGCTTTATATATATATATATATATATATATATATATATATAGAGAGAGAGAGAGAGAGAGATTTCATTTATCTGACAGATTTTATCTTCTGAAATTTTGATTTTAGATGATACTCATATTTGAATAGAACCTCCGTTTATTTATGAAATAGTATTTTCATTTATTTTAACTTACTGGTCTATTTGAGAGATTTTATTAAAGAAAAGATACATACCCTGGCAGGATTTGAACCACTTAAGATAATGTTAAAATGATATAATCTGTCAGATTAATAGATAAAAAGATGGAGGAAAGGACACATTTCCAAAAAAATCTTGTGTGATAGACATTACACCTTACAGGTGGATAAAAGGGTGGATTTCAGAGACAAATCTCAAGTGATACTCAATACACCTTAAAGATGAGAGAGAGGACGGATTTTATCTGATGCAAAGATGAATATGGCTAAATGAAGGCTGCAAGTAGGCAATATTGTCATGATATGTCCTGGAATTTTCAACCACTTATTGGATCATTCAAAATCAATGAAGGAGTGAAAATAAACAGTGCTAACTATTGCAATTTCATAGACAAGAGTGTTTTTAAATTGTACAAGTTCCACTCTCACAGTTTAAAAGTGAAGTATGTATTTATACCCAACAATTCTCCTTCTCATGTATCTAAGGTTTACAGGAGAAAATATAATACAATGGCCACTATCAAGTCTAAATCTGAAAAAAAATCAAACTGTCCAAATAGTTATTTAAAGATCTATAGGATGTATGTTGAAATTACCTAAAAAATTAATTATAGTTTGTTTTAACATCCAAATTGATCATTTCCAATACTAGAACTAATAAAACACATCTATTCCATATATTGATCATCCTACTACAACCTTATCACTTTGACTAACATGAGATTTATCAAATAGAAGTTCCATAAAAATCCATATTACTACCTAACATTTTTTTCTTAATCAAGTTCACCACAAGCAAGACAGTATAGTGATCAAGACACAAGGAGTTAAAAACCGGAATATTGATAAGGAACAAGAACAGAGGAACAGTAATCAGGAGAACAGAAGATAGCAATTGACATTGTATTTAAATTTTTCAAGATCAAATCTGGCTGGAATGTATGGAGATGAAAGAGAGTTCCACAGGTGAAAAGTGCAAGAACAGAAACTCCTAGCATAGAATTTAAGGTTAGCCAGTTCAACTGTAAATTGGTAAGTCCTCATTGCCAGTCTAGTACAGCACTTAAAATCAAATGGCTCAACTGAACAGTTACCATAAAAATATTTATAGAAAAGGCAGAGGGAAGCAAATTTACAATGGTGGGAACTTGAGAAGACGCCAGATAAGAACCAATAATATTGCTGCTTCTTCTTTGGATTTTATCAAGGAGCTCTAGATAGATAACAGGAGCACTAGATCATAAACATGGATAAATGGTAGACTTATAGATATATAAGATAGACTCTAGTTAAAAAGATAACGGTCTAGCATGACACAGTGATGGTTTGGTTTGGTTTGTTTTATGGCATAGCAAAACCTCAATGGGTTATTTAATTCTGACAAGATTTTTACAATAGATTCATATGAATACAATATATATTCTTTGTAAGGAAACTGTTTGTAGATCCAGTTTCATAGATATTCTTTTGTAAAGTAGGTTGTTGTCAAGATTTTGCTTTCATCGATGAATTCTTTTCAGAAACACGGTTTATAGAGAAATTGATTTTGACATTCTCATTTGGTTTATAATTTTTTGGTAGAGTCCTACTGTTTTGAGAAATTACATTATATCATCCACTTTTACTTTCTCAAACAGCTCATACATATTGTTTATATTATAGTATTTTTGTCATTAAGAGAGCAAGATCTGAGCACTCGCTTTAATAGTATATGCTGTTTTATATGCTTGACATACTGGTAGATCTTCTTTATTTAATAAGTACAAGTGGGTTATTCTCATATGACCATTGCATATATAGGCTAGTATCACTTCTTCCTTACAAAATTTTCTGGGAGCTGACTGCCATTCTAATAGTTTGGGCTGAATTGTGAAGAATTTATTTTGTGGGTTATCCTCACAGTACCATTGCCATTCCTTTTGAATGTATTTATTAATAACCTCCTTAAAATCTATATATGGGATTTTGGTCATTGTATTTACATTCATATCTAAAGCCGACTTGTCTGCTAGGTCTGCTTCATTATTATCTTTTTAACTCTGATTTCTCTTGGAATCCAACAGAGTTTGATGCCTTTATGTTTGTTAATAGTTCTCATTTTGCATAATATTTTCATAATAAGTGAGTTGTTGGATTTTTTTTTCCTCCAAAGTATCCTACTGACGGATACTGAGTCCAAAAAAAATTAGAAATTTTTTTTTGTTTGCTCTCTTAGATAATGTTGTGAGTTAGTTCAATTGCATAAGCCTCTGCAGTGAAAATAAAGCCTCCCTTTGGGAGGTGCCTTTTTTTTTGGTAATATTTTGGCTCACTGCTGCACATCCTATCTTGTCTTCACATTTTGACCCATCTGTTAGGGAATTTTGCCAATATGTCCTGAAACTTATCCTGGAATGTAAGTGGATGCGTTTTTTTTGTTTTGGGAGATTAGGTAATTCTAGCAGAACTTTGGGTTGCTTGATAGTCCATGGTGGAATACTGGCTGCAGTCATTTCTTGTATATTTGAAAGCTTGGTGCCTAACGCTTCAACAATGGATTTCATCCTGAGTCCGTAGGGTTTTATAGCAATATCTTTTTGTTGGAATAGATTGCAGTAATTCAGTTCAAAGGTACTGCTGTAAACTGGGTTAATTGGGTATGATTTTATTTTTACATAGTACTGTAGTGCCAGTGTACCATAAATGTGGAGGTTTTTCATTAGCTACTGTGTATAAGCTCTCCACTGGGGATGTTCTAAAAGCCCAGAGTAGTAATCTGAGGCCTTGATGATAGGTCGCATAGAGAATTTTTAGGTACAACTTTCTGGTTGCCTCATATATGAAACTAGCATAATCCAGTTTTGAACAAATTAGTGATCTGTATAATTTCATCAATGTTAATTGATTTGCACTTGTTCAATATGAGCCACTATACACAGGACTTGTAGGGCTTTGCTACATTTTGTTTTCAAATATTTTAGATGGGGAATGAACGTTAATTTTTTATCAAAGATAATGCCTAGAAACTTGTATTGTTCCACTACTGAGATTTCTGCCCCATCTAATTTGAAACATGGATCATTGTGCAATTCTCTTAATTTACAGAAATCTAGGTATTTGGTTTTTGTTTTGGAAAACATGAACCCATTTTCAGTGGCCCATTTGTGTATTTCATCGTGACATTGTTGGAGTTGTCTTTCAATAGTATTCATATGTTGAGATCTGTATATATTTAGAAAACCATTAACATATAGAGAGCATCTCACTCCTGGGCTTAGGGTTTTAATTATGGAGTTTCTAAGTCAAAAAAGACTGCCGTGAGATGTTCTTCCTTAACAAAGACTTCCCTTACAAAAGATTCTAAGTGTATTAAGTGATCCATGGTACTTCTTTTTTTTTTCTCATCATCATCTTGCGGCCTCAGCTGAGATTGAACTCACCAATACTTTGATTGATGTAGTTCATAATCTTGTCAAATAGCTGAATTCTTGATGCTTCGCTAGGGCTATCAAGGGTGTTTTTATCGTGACACCAACACTAAATGGATTGCCAACCAAGGCTCAGAGAGACTCCATTCACCCTCCTCTAAGAGCAGGTTTGAATTCAGAGTTTTCCTTCTCCTAGACCAGTTGCCATCCAAGGCTATAGAACCCAGTCTGTCCTGCTTTTTACCCATAGCTGGAGGGAGAAGAAAGAGGATTCACACCTTTCCCAAGGGTGTTAGCACGTAAGTGAATGTAATGGATTCGACTGGAATTCGAACTCGGCTCTCCAATTCCTCAATCCAAGCCACTATCCATTACTCCACCGTGCCTTTTTTTTCTAAAAGCACATTGGAAGTCATTAGGCCATTAGTGTCAAGGTACCAAGTGAACCTGCTGTTGACCATTCTCTCCATAGTTTTGCATAGGCAGCTCATGAGTGTAATCGGCCTTTAGCTTTCAGGGTCTATGTCATCCTTTCCAGATTTTGGAATAGGAATAATGAATGACTGTTTTCACATATCTGGGAAGTTGCTATTTGTTCATAGTTGTTATACAATTTTAGTAACGGTTGTAATGATTTGTTGGGCAACTGTTTTATGAATTAATAATGGATATCATCTGGTTCCACAGCTGTATTGTGGGCTTACTTTAAAAATTCCTTTAGTTCTTCTATAGTGAATGGTAGGTTGTTTAAAGTTTAATTATTGTTTTTCTGTTTTTGTTTGAGTTTCAAAAATTGTTGGCTACCATTCTTAGCAGATGAGATTTTAGAGATTGTTTAGGCTAATTAATCTTTTTTGCTGGTTACTTTATAGTTATTTATTGAGAGGTGTTTTATGACGTTAGTATGATGTTTATCAGATATTTTCCTTATCATATCTCATACAAATTTTGTTTTTTGTGGCATAATTAAGTCTGCTGACATAGTTTTTCCAACATTCTTTTTTGCTTTCTTTAATTATTTTCTGTGATTTTGCTTGAGGTTGCTTAAATTCTAACAAATTAGAGTTTAAAGTGTTGGAATCTCTCAAAGCTCTTCTTCTGAGTCTGATAACTTCCTTACACTCATCATTGAACCAAAGTCCATTATGTCTTTTTTGGTACTGAACTTTTTGGAA